TCTTAACTATATATATTTACTATTTTACGTCCAATTTGTGTGGTACAAAGTAACTGACGCCACAACTATCTTTGAACTTCATAAATAGCTGAACATTATTGTAAAGATATTCTTGACACTTGAGTTCCACGGGAATAACAATAAGCGAAGTGAATCAAAGCTCCTTGCAAGCTGGTTTACGAGGAGCTTTAGAATGATAATTAATAATGGTGGAAATTTATGATTTTCTAGTACGCAGTGAATCTCGATTTAACCGATATGTTCAAATTCACCCGCTAAGTCGAGATATCCGTAAAAGTAAGATAATAATATCTGGATATAATGAATGGTCATATAATCAAATCATGTGATATACATTATACAGTTACAGTGATCCCAAAATTTTCACGTAACGAAAAATTCCTTTATAGTTCACCACAATGAGAGTCTTTTGAATTAATATTTATTTAATGATAAATAGATAATATCAAATAATAAGTTTTTACAAATTAATGATAAATAAATAATGCATAATTAATGAGTTTTGCACATTAATATTTATCCCAAAGTAACTTGTTTTGCAGATTCCGAATTAGTTTGTAATATTAGGTTTTCTTTTACAGAATTAAATCTTCCATTCGCATATTTCTTTTTTAAATCATTAAATCATAGCCAGCTAAGCGAGCCATTAAATTTTTTAGCCAGATGACATTACTATTAAATCATGCAGTTATTGTTCTGAAAAGTGGAATGCTGGTAAAGTGTAAATGTTGACATTGTTAATAGACTTATGTACATAGGTTAGTGGTTGTATCCACCGAATGATATTCACCAATTATTCACCGATTATCCAGTTAATCGGGTGCTGAAAATTTTCATTGATTAATTAATCGGGTGTTGAAAATTTTCACTGGATAATTGGTGAATAATTGGTGGACAGAAAATATAAAAAATAAAAATTTTTATCCACGTAATTGAAAGAATTACTAATATATTAACATGTAAATACTATTTTATGCACTATTACACTCACCAAAATTCTTTCTATTATAATAACATATCCAAGTAATATGAATACCAACTGTGTCATTATTATCTAAAGAATATTTATGCATTGCAGTAACTTCTACTCCAAATGAGCGTCTACAGCTAAACCTTGTCACGGCGGACTATAATTATAACGAATTTTTAAAATTTTTGCTTCACATTCACATTAAAATATAAAAACATAAAAATCCATTGTAGCAAGATCAGTAAATCTTGCCGCAACGAGTTTTAAATAAATCTTCATTCATCTGCTGTGACAAGGTTTGACTGTATTTAGTGAAGCTGGAAACACAATGACAGCCGAACGAATAAAATCGAATCCGTTGTTATTTGTATTTCTTAAAAAAAATATGCAATGTATTGAAAATATTTTTCCTGAGGAATAAATAATTATTATAAATCAATGAATATTCAATGGATATTTGGCGGATATTCGGTGAATGACCAATTATCCGGATAATCAACGGATACAACCACCAATAGAATTATTACGTTATTATTATATTATAATGCAGCTTAGGAACAATAATATAAGCATGGGATGTGGATATTAATATAATTGTAATTAAATATTTAAATATTTACTAAATCTCAAAAAAAAAAATTTATTAAAAATCACAAGCATTTACAACAATCAATTGATTAATTAATTTCTTAAATCAACAAATAAATCATCATCAATTTTTTATAAATAGCCCTTGATTTCTTTTCCTAAAATTCATTTTTTTCTCATTGAGCTTGATTATCAGATTTGTTTCTTTTTCTATGGAACCTCGCCCTATTATTACACCAGGCAAGGAAAAACGAAAGAGGGTATCAAACAGTGAAGAGCTTCTGTCTACGGCTGCTATACAGGTATAATATTATTGATGTGCAAATGACCTTTAACATGAATTGTTGTATTAAGCAATTAATTCTTGCACTATACCTTTGATAGAAACGTCGGAAAGTTGAAGATGAATCAAGCTTAACACTCAATCAAGTTCTATCAGTTGAATCTTAAATTTTTATGAAGAAAATGGACCAAATCTTACCTCCTCAAAACCTTTTAATGATGAATTTATTCTAAGAGTCAATTAAGCATTTGATTCTACTTATGGAAAGCCTTTTGCCTAGAGCTCCGAAACGGGTCGGGTCGGGTCATGATTTAATTGACCCGGGTTTGACCCAGGTCAACATCTGTTATAATTGTCTTTAAAAGTTCAAAATTATTTTTGAAACTAGTATAGATACTAATAAATGGATAAAAATAAATGG